GGACGTCCCCTCTTTCTGGGAAGCCGTGACTGGCTGTGTGTTTGAGCCATAGAGGTCTACACATCCATAAACCCTGCAAAGTCACCCTGGAAAGTCAGCTGCCAGCTGTCTTCTCCTGGACGAGTTAATCGTACAGTTTTTTTTTAAAATCTGGACAACGCAAGGGACACACCGGATAGCAACAGAGATGTGTGTCAGATGGAGGAAACAGTTCTCTGTTTGTTTTGACATCAACCCCCTCAGAAAACCTGCAGAAGACAACTTCCTGTTGGGAATAAACGCGTTCCGTGTGCACGCAGAGGAAAAGTCTCCAAGGCCTACCGACGGGTTTGGATCCAGAGAAAAAAATGTGTGCTGCGTTCGAAAAATGGATTAGTGAAACTATGTTAATCCAGGACATGATGACACGCGAACCTAAAAGCTCATTGGTTGGCTCCTTGGGTTTTCGGTTAATCATTTTAATATGCGACTCAGGCCGTGTGTTTTTTTGGTTTCTTCGGGGCAGATCTGCTGTAAAAGACACAGCGAGGTCTTTCCTGGTCTGGTCAGGACCATTCCTCTGATCCTGGACGTGCTTGTAGACGGACTGTGTTGACCAGAGGCAGCCGGCTGGGTCTGTTTAACTTCCTCTTCCTGTTTGGGAGGGGTCCACTGATGGTGGGAGTCAGGCTGACCCCCCCTACAGGCCCACTCAGCTCTTAGTCCTTCTGGGAATGTCAGGAACTAGTCTGTTTCTGCTTGTATTCCATCTCATTTCCCCCTCCAGGCAGAGTTCACGATAGCTGTTTTCACTAAATGAGGCAGTTTTTCTTTGGGCTTGCATTTTGAAATTTAGCATCGGATCATCGTACTTTTTCGGGGTCTCTGTTAGAAGATGGTGACATGCCCCCCCTCTCTCTCTCTCACCCCCAACCGGCCGAGGCAGATGCCCCCCCCACCCTGAGCCATGGTTCTGCTCGAGGTTTCCGCCTGTTAAAAGGAAGTTTTTCCTTGCCTGTGTCGCCTAGTGCTTGCTCATGGTGGGAATTGTTGGGTTTCTGTAATTA